CCCGGCCCCGGACACGCCCCTCGAAAGCTCGCCCCGCCCCTGCCCTTAAAGGCACAGGCTCACGGGGAGGTCTCGAAGGTCTTCCTCCACCCTCCCTTCAGTCCCCTGCCTGTGGCTGCTGCTTTCGCCATGGAAGCGGAATCTGAGATGAAAAAGACGGATAAGGAAAGCAGGAGGCCGGAAAGGGGTAGTTAGAGCGTGAAACTAGGAGGATCTATTCTCGAGGGTGGGGTGAACAAGAGGGTGTCAGCCTGCTTCTGGTAAAGAATGGTTATAAGGAATATTTACACAGGTATTCTCAATGTCCCGCCTGAAATGCCTCTATTTGAGGTTCCTAGTTGGGCTCAGCATTTCCCTCTAGTAGCATCGCTTTGAATAGAAGAATATGGGAGGGCCGGCCCGTGGCTCACTCAGGAGAGTGCAGTGCTGATAACACCAAGGCCATGGGTTCGGATCCCATATAGGGATGGCCGGTTGGCTCACTGGCTGAGCGTGGTGCTGACAACACCAAGCCAAGGGTTGAGATCCCCTTACCGGTCATCTTTTAAAAGAAAATAGATAGATAGATAGATAGATAGAGAGAGAGAGAGAGAGAGAGAGAGAGAAAGAAAGAGAGAGAGAAAGAAAGAAAGAAAGAAAGAAAGAAAGAAAGAAAGAAAGAAAGAAAGAAAAGAAAAGAAAAGAAAGAATATGGCAAACAGATCAAGACTGGGGAGTTAGTGATCTACTCCTGCTGACAGATATATCTACCCCTCTCCACAGTGTCCCAGCTTCCTGGGAATTTCTGGTCATCCCTGACTTTCCTTCCGCTGGGTGGGCTAGGACACAGTGGCTGGAACTAGGGGCGATGAGGCTGGTGGCAAGTGCCCTCCCCCAGGCCACTCCTGCAGCCTCGCCTTTGTAATTGGCACGAGTCCAATTCCACCACCTCTCCCCTCATCACCTGCAGGCCAGAGACCCAACTGGGAGCCTGGCGTTCAAGGCCCTTCACGGTCCAACCCTAACCCACCTTTTATGACATCATCCTTTACCCCTACTTCTGATCCCTCTCGTTCTGGTCCTGGAAGTGCCCCCCACTCCTGGAACAGCTGGGTCCTTACACATAGCCACACCTCCGCTCCTTCTGAGCCCTCTGCCCCCTGCCACCCTCTCCCTTTCTTTTTTTATTTATTTTATTTTATTTTATTTTATTTTTTTAAAGATGACTGGTAAGGGGATCTCAACCCTTGGCTTGGTGTTGTCAGCACCACACTCAGCCAGTGAGCGAACCAGCCATCCCTATATGGGATCCGAACCCGTGGCCTTGGTGTTATCAGCACCGCACTCTCCTGAGTGAGCCACTGGCCGGCCCTCACCCTCTCCCTTTCCACAGGACAAATTCTTACCCATGTTGCCAGGCTCAACTCAAATTCCACCACTTCTGGGAGTCTTCCACCCTCTTCCCTGACTCTCACACCACTATGGGCCTCCTTATCTTCAGAGCATGCTTCTAATTCCTATTTCTGAGGCTGAGGACGTTGTGGTCCAGATCATGATACATGTGGAATCGCAGAGCATGGGGTTTCTGTATGACCTTTGGCTCTCTGAGCCTCCATTTCCCTCCCTGTAAACTGCTGTTTCAGTACCTAACTCATGGTGTCCTTGAGAGATGACACTGTGTGTAAAGCCCCAAACCCTATTTCTGGCACTGAGTAAACACTCCCTTGATGGAAGCCATTGTTGTCACTATTATTCCATTATTACTTCCATGTGGCGACTTATGTGCCTGTGTCCCCCACTGGCTGGGAGCCACTCACAACAGGGCCCAGGCCCAGCTCGTCCCCATGTCCAAGCATCCAGCACAGGGGCGCCCACAGCTAGTGTCTCTGTGTAGGAATGACTGAGCCTGCTCTGGGGTCAGCTGCTCCCCAGGTTACCTGCTGCTTGGGGGAGTAGTTCCAGAATTGCTGAATTTGGGGCCAAAGTTCTCCTTCCCTAAGTTAGGGGCTCTGACCCTGGTATTCATGGGCCCAGCCAGGGAGAGGCCTCAGGTTATCATCCTAGGTCACCTGTGCAGTCAGGTTACTACCTCCCTGTCTCTCAAGACTGGGGACAGAGAAGGGAGACAGGTGTGGCCTGGAACACAGCCGCTGGTTCACCCCTGCTCTGGTGGATAGTGATCAGGGTTAGGGCCTATTTCCTAGGCTGGGAAAGGCCTTTTTTTTTTTCTTTTCTATAAAGATGACCGGTAAGGGGATCTCAATCCTTGACTTGGTGTTGTCAGCACCACACTCAGCCAGTGAGCAAACCGGCCATCCCTATATAGGGATCCGAACCCGGGGCCTTGGTGTTATCAGCACAACACTCTCCCGAGTGGGCCACGGGCTGGCCCTTGGGAAAGGCCATTTTGACACTGTAGAAGCAGACTGAGATGTCACCCAAATCTAACTTCAAATCCCAGCCAGCTCTGCCATTTACTGGCTACTTGACCTTGGACAAGTCTTTTCACCTTTTTGAGCCTTGATTTTCTCAACTGGAAAATGGGGATTAAAAACAGCACCTATAGCACACTCACTGGGCTGTGGTGAGAAGTCACTGAGATTATATACGTAAAACCCATAGCACAGTGCCTGGTATTTGTAAAAGTTGAATACATGGAAGCTGCTGTGATTATCATTCTTCTTATTATCACTGGGGGTGAAAGGACCTGGCACAGTGTCTCAGTAGGTGAAAATGTTGATTTCCTTTCCTTGAAGAGGAGGAATTTGTGCTTGTATCAGTTATCTTCTGCTACATAACAAACCATTCCAAAACTTAAGGCCTAATACATCAATATTTTATTATCTGTTAGGGTTTCCGTGGGTCATGAATTTAAGAAAGGCTCAGCTTGGTGGTTCTGGCTCAGGTTTCTCATGTGGTTGCAGTCAAATAATGGCTGGGCATTTCTCTCTCTCTCTCTCTCTCTCTCTCCTTCCTTTCTTCCTTCCTTTTCAGCACCATGACTTGGATATGAACCAAGGTCGCTGCCATCACAATGCAGAGTACTAACCACTATACAATCACAGCCAGGATGTTTCTCTTTCTGTGTGTGTCTTAGAGCTTCCACATGTGATCTCTCTGCATGAGCTAATTTCTGGCTTTTTTAGAGCATGGCATCTCAGGATACCAGTGCAAGGATTCCAGGGAACAAAGCAGAAGGCAGACTGCCTTTTATGACTTAGTTGTGTAAGTGACACTGTGTCACATAGTGTCACTTCCACCATAGTCACAGCCCCACCCAGATTAGAGAAGAGGAAACATAGACCTTACTTCTCAGTGGGAAGTATGCCAAAGCCACATCATAAGAAGAGTATATAAGAAGAGAGATCTCGGTGTGACCATATTTGGAAAATACAATCTGCCACCATGCCTTAGTCCACAGAGGTGACCAATGGTGGATATTTAGGGAGCATGGACCAGCAGAGGGGAGCTATACTTGGGGGGTAAAAGGAGAAGGGACCCTCAAATCCCACTGAGAGGACAACTGCCTACAACATCACATGTGGGCTGATCCTGTCCTCAGCATCTTATGAATGAACCCCGAACCAGTAAAAATAAATAATGACTATTTATTAAAGACTTATTGAGGGCCAGCCCATGGCTCACTCGGGAGAGTGTGGTGCTGATAACACCAAGGCCATGGGTTTGGATCCCATATAGGGATGGCCAGTTAATTCACTGGTGAGCGTGGTGCTGACAACACCAAGTCAAGGGTTAAGATCCCCTTACCGGTCATCTTTAAAAAAAAAAAAAAAAAAAATGACTTATTGAGCATATGCACATAACAGCCCTGTGGGGTGAGGGCTAAAGTGATCTCCATTTCACAGAAGAGGAAACTGAGGTTCAGAGAGATGACGCAGCCTGCCCACAAGGTCCCCACTGGGAAGTGGCAGAGATGGGATTTGCATGTAGGTCTGAGTGACCCCAGCTGAGTCCCCTTCACTACCACAGGCTGAGCTACCTGCCTCACTCAAAGGTAAGGCCAGATCTACCCGACATGCAGCAGGCCTGGTTAGGAGGCCCAGAGTGTGGGTGGCACCTCCAGGCACAATGTAAGTACCTGGGGACAGAGCGAGTAGAAGTCATGAGTCTTGAGGAATTTAAGAGGAAAGAGAGAATCAGAACTTTCAATCTTTGTCTAAGAAGCTTAGAGACCTGCAAGGTTCCTGAAGAATGTGTGAATCTCACCTTCAACCAATGCAAGTTTCC